AGCAAGAGTTGAACCACTCTAAGATGAATATTCCTAAGAGCTTCATGCAAAACTATGTTGTTTTCTTTGTTAACCATTCTCAGAATCTCAAACTTGCTAATGATTTCATTTTCATCAGTTTCTCTCTAACCTACCCTTGCAGTAATATGTAGAGGTGTATCTCTATCTAAATTCTACTTTATCAGAAATAATCGACGCTTGCCATAAATCTCATTGATAATAATCTTGTGTCCAAAATTTATAGCTGTGTTTTCCTGGGGAGTTATCTTTAAAAGTAGTATTGGATTTTGATATAGAAAAAATTTGAGGGAACAAACTTTGCCTAACTTGGCATATTAGTTGAATTTTGGATCCATTAAATGATCATATCTAGAATTGTTAACAGGTAAAGCTTTTGATTCCCTAACTACATTAATAAAAAAAAAGGTATATTCCCTTTTACAATATGGCTCTATACAACATTCAGTCAAAATATCACTTGCCTGCCTTTTCATAGATTGAAATATAGCTTTTGCTTTAACTTTTACTAAATGAAAATAAAATATACATAGGTAGAAAATCATTCCAGGTAACAAATTCAATATAATTGGTCAACATGGACTATTTCAAAGGGTCCAAGTTTTAACTTGACCAAAGCACAATATTACAGAAAATTGCATGAAAGAAAAAGACAATGGAAAGTTATGTAAAAACTTAGAAAGAAAAACAAGTTTTAAAAGTTTCCAAAGGTAACAACTTCATGACTTTTCAAGCCATATGCAATTTAATAGTCTAAAGTTTTGTTCTTGTTTATTTGAATAAAAGTTGCTTAAAGGCACAAACCATGAAAACAAATGCTAATTTTCTAAATACAAAATATTTGAGGCTGCCCAACAAAAATAGGGCTATCTCATTTTGTAAAAAAAAATTTCTACTACATTTGCCTCAACATTATCCTCAACTACATGATTGGTTGAAATTATTGAAACAAACATTTATTTTGTTGCCAAATATAAACTATAAACCGACTAATTTCAAAACACAATAATTCATTTCATATGACACAAAAAATGTATATTTATCATATTCTGTTCGGATTAATTTTAAAATTGAGTCAAAATAATTTGTTAAACAATTTTTATTTTATTTGAATCTACTCGATTTAAAAAATATTATCATTAATTATTATCTTAATAAATATTTCAAATTTATTAAACCATCAAATAAATCGAACAAATTAAATCTCATTCTAATTAATTTAAATTTAAAATTATTTTATCCAAATTATTTGAGAGGGCTCAATAAAATACTGTAGCTTATCTTATTTTGAATTCTTATTATTCTATTTTTTAATTTTAATTTTTTAAAAAAAAGTCAAATAAAAAAAAAAAAACCAGAAAGCTTGGAAACTTAAACAGTCAAAATTCAAATAATTTCACTGTTGAATTCAAGTCGATTGCCCACTGTTTTGTTGTCTAACTTGTCAGCACAAAAATTGTAAAGTCTTTCTCAAATCTCATAAAGTCAAAAATTTGAATTAAAGGGCTTCTCAAATCTAAAAAAAAATGGGGATTTGAACTGGATCTGGCGAAAAATTGAGGCAAGAGAGGAGGCCAATCTTTTCTGAAAAAACTTTTGAAAGGCACTTTTTTTTTGGAGGCCAATTTTTGGACGAAGAAGGCAATGCCAAAAATCCAACCAGCCATTGCCTCCACAGGCAACCATGTGTACCACCATACCTTCTCGCCTTAAACCGCCACCACCATCCCATTCCCTTTCCTTTGCCAGCCGATCACCAACCCAACCCCACCGATCTCCCAACTAGCCCCCCAGGAACAGCTCCCATCTCCCACCTACTCACCACCCACCGCCCTACTGCGATAGCCATCGAAACTGCCAAAAAATAAATAGCAACTGTCACAGCCAAAAACAAAAAATCAAATAACCAAGCCAACAAAGCCAAAAAAAAAAAAAAAATTGCAAACAACCACAGTCCTCTATTGAGGAATCCATCGGAAAAAAAAAAAAAAAGAAACAGAAAAGGGCCCGTTGAGGATGAAAAGGGCTTTCGGTCATGGGATTTTTTTTTTGTTTTTATGAGTGATTTGGGAGAGTATTTTTAAGATTTTGGGAAAGGAGAGAAAGGAGCTATTTTTTTGGGTGGTGGGAGCGACGGCGGTGTATGGAGGTCAGCGCTGGCGAGGAGACTTTTGGATGATCTGAACTGGTAGAAAGGAAGGATGGAAGGGGAGAAACAACATACTTTGGTTTCAGGACGACCGGACGGCGAGAAGAGGGTGAACGACGGTTTAAAATTTCGGGTTAAAGTTTCAGATCCAAGCTATTATGAGATGATTTGCGAAAAACAGAGGCTGAATCTGAGACAAGAAGGAAGAGAGGAGTCCACGGCTGAAATTTTGGAGTCAACTGACGCCGAACGGTGGCGGTGAACGGCGCCGGGATCTGGGTTAGGGGAGAGTGGCCGGGTGTGTCTTTTTTGGAGAGAAGAAGTTGCATTTGATACAAAAAACGGGAAACTCAGGTTTGATGCTCCTGACCTGACCCTCTTACAATGTTTGTATTTAGCAAAGTGATCAATGAATATGGAATTGTCTAACGATGTTGTAGATAAGGTACGTGCCTCAGACATTTTTATCACCTTGTATATTTTATCTAATTACAAATATGCACAATACAAGAAAATATTAGAGGAAATTGACAAGTATGAAAATGATTTGGAGGTATTTTCTTTTGGCTATGAGAAGCTTGGCTTCACATGCAGGTTATCATTTTTTCAAATATCTAATTGTTAGCATGGGCTTATTTTTCATAACTGTAATGTTCCATATTAATTGTAGCTCCCATGGTTGCATGTTGTTACTTTTTATGCTAAATGTAATTTGTTTTGATTTATGACTCTTTCCAGTTCAAATGAGTAATTTTCAATTAAATAAAATTAGTGTTGAAATATTCTTGTGATTGATTTGTGTGGAAATAGTGTAAATGATTTCCAGATCTTTTATTTTATATGTTTAAAATTTAGGCAGATCAATCTAAGAAAGAAATCAGTTCCTTGATGCTCAATAAAGTGTGGAGCAAATATTTGGTTCTTTGTTGCAAGAAAAAAATTGAGAATTTTATTAAAGCCCTTAGAATTAGTCCTTTCTCTATTATTTCACTTTTATATGTTTATTTTATTTATTTATTTATTTATTTGTGAACGTCTTCTCCTTGTTCCCTTTATCATTTCTTTGTATTACATTGCTTAATAGCTATCTTGTTAACTTTAATTTTTAGTAAAATGTTATTCTCCATTCATGTTTTTTTTTTTTTTAGTCTTAGAAGTTGTTTTATGATAAGCTGATATTGCTCTTTTTTTATATAATCTCATCTGGCTTTCAGTGAGACATGATAACTTACAGGGAGTGGGCACCAGGAGCTAGGGTTTTTTATGCATTATTTTAACATTTTGAGATTTTAACCATTAATCTTACTAACTTCTATGCAATCAAAAAAGTCTTATTAACTTCTAGATGTTTTGTTTTCTCTTCAATTTTTGTGATTAGTTTATTGCATTTTCTTTTTCAATCAGTAGCACTGATTGGAAATTTTAACAATTGGAACCCTAATGCAGATATTATGAGCCGGGTATGTTATACTTTCTTATGCAAGAATAAATGCCACGTGTGCATTGAATTGATATTTTCCATGTCTGTAAGAACTGACCTGCCATTGATGGGTTACTTGACATTAAGTGAAGTTCATAATTAATTGAGCAATACTTTAGTAGGTGCACCTACAAGTGATTTTCTTTGATTGCTTTCTGAATCTTCTCCTTCTATACATTACATAAATAATGCAGTCACAAGATGGAGTTGGTGCTATCAAAATATCAGTAACTCTGCACTTTGTTTTTGAGGCATCTTTCTTGCAATTTTATATCTATTGATGAACTACACATCATTTGTGTTGCTTTTAATGAGCTATTGTCTCCCTTGCTTTTCTCTGACTCTGACCAATGTGCTCTACGATGTATGCCTTAAGAAACTGTAGTATTTGCAATACCAACCATTCATAAGTAAAAGCTTATATCTTCTCTAAATGCACATGCTGAAAGAAGTTAAAAGTTATTTAAGTTTGGTTTGTCAAAACACTTAGCTTAATGTTGAATCTGAATGTAAACATGTGTGTTGATTTACATTGGTAGTGATCTATTGTCTATTTCTATATTTAAATAACATCTAGTGTTTAATACTATAAATATTAATTATTTTTTAACAGAATGAGTTTGGTGTCTGGGAGATCTTTTGGCCTAATAATGCTGATGGTTCACCACCAATTCCCCATGGTTCTCAAGTGAAGGTAAATTACCTATAGATGAATATAAGTTTGGCTCTTGAAAGTTATTGTGCTTACATTCAAATGCTACTTGTTTATTATTTCCTTTTTCCACTTTTTAAGTCAGAATAAAAAGAAACTATGAGAACTTGCAACTCTTTCCTTGTAGATCAACAATCTATTTAACCTTTTGATCATGACCTGTGGATCAGGAACCTTTAAGTATGATGCTTTTTTTTTTTACGCTGATCCTATTGCATGTGTATATGGTTTGAATAAATTATTGGTTTGTACTACAACCTTCACAATAATTAATTACTAGAATTCATGACATAAAGGCATTGAAGTATTTAATGGGGTGGTCTCTGAATCAAGCAAAATTATTCAAGGTAGCTGAGTTCAAATCCAACTAACTCTTGCCCTAAAAAGAAGGGAGAAAGAAAGAAAAGATGAAGATGAAAAAAAAAAAAACATTTCTCTAGTATTATTAAATAATGAGTATTACTTTAGTTAATGATAATGCAAATGCCAAATAGCTAGTGACTTGGATCTCTGTTAACTGCTTTATGTATAGAAATATCTTAAATAGCAGTTTCAAATCAATAACATGAAAGTTGGTTTGATTGCAGTTTTATTATGATTCTTCACCCATTTCTAAAACCCATTAAGAAGCCTAAATTTGCAATTAAACCAAAATTTATCTCTAGTTTTCATCTTACTGTCATGCAAAGAAAATTTGTCCCACAAACACCTTCAGTCTTTATCTTCCATGCTACATTTTGATATGGTTAATCCATTTCCTAGTTTTCTTAATATTATCAACTCTAAGATGCGGGAGCCAATAATTAACACATATGCGAACTTTAGAGATGATGTGCTTCCCCACATTAAAAGACTTGGATATAATGCTGTTCAAATCATGGCTATTCAAGAGCACTCGTATTATGCTAGATTTGGGTATTATCTCCATCAAAATATCAGCTCATCTTTATTTGTTGCTATTTATGTTTGTTAACTTGTACTAAAATGTTATGTTTTGGATGTAAACAGAAATATTTCTTCAGAATTTAGTTTTGGTTATGGAAACTAACCTCTTCTACTTTTAACAAGTTGCATTTAATATGTTGCAGGTATCATGTGACAAACTTCTTTGCACCAAGCAGCCATTTTGGAACCCCTGATGATCTTAAGTCACTGATAGATAGGGCTCACAAGTTGGGTCTACTTGTTCTTATGGATATTGTGCACAGGTAATAATTGGACTTGCAGGAGTATATCATTTCTAGAATCGCACCCTTCAGCTTTATTAGCTGTTACAGGTTTTGTGCAAAAGGTTTTTCCCAGCTTTTTTGTACCAAAAATGAAAATATAAACTCTTTTTCTTCTTCTTTTCCTGCTTAGACTGTATGGTCATTCTTCCAGTAGACTTGATGCAAATATGGCCATGAGAATTTAGGCTGTTATTGGTCCTTACTCTTATTATGTTTTTTCTAGTTGTTTTTGGCTTCCTAAAAGGTTTCTAAAGAACAAACCTAAAAGGGAGAAAGCAAAGTCATAATTGTTTGAAAATATATATAATTAAATGCAATAGAATTTGTAGTATAATTGTTCTATTAAAGAGGAATCATAGTATTTTGTTCTACAAGAGATAATATTTTTTATTTTTAATTCTTTTAAAGTATTATTGTCTTTTCTACCCAAATGTACTTTTTGCTTCTGAAAACAAAAAGCTAGTAGCAAAAACAACTATCGAATGGAATCTTATTGTATTGTTTACAATGAAAGTTTTTATCTTTTGCATGTAGTTAATGTTAAATTCTTTTCTAAACTGTAGCAAATTTTTATTCAAGTATTTGTTCTGTTGCTTTGAGTAAGTAATCTTTTGCTATAAGTTTCAGTTAATTTTTATTCTTTAGTTAAATTAGGTTATTAATTAATTTTGTCATCCGTCTTTGTATCTGATTGATGTTTGACAAATACAACCATGCATCTAATAATGTGTTAGATGGATTGAACATGTTTGATGGAACCATTGCTCATTACTTCCACTTGGGGTCAAAGGGTCATTACTGGATGTGGGATTCTCGCCTTTTTAATTGTGGAAGCTAGGAAGTATGTATTTCTATTGAAACTTCCCTTAAACAATAGCTTGTTGAAAGATTTTGGCTTCCTTCCATCCTATTGTGTGTAAATATTAATTTTTACTTGTTGCTTTAGGTACAAAGGTTTCATCTTTCAAATGCAAGATGGTGGCTGGAAGAATACAAGTTTGATGGATTCAGATTTGATGTTGTGACTTCAATGATGTACACCTATCATGGGTTGCAGTTAATATCTGAGTGAGTTTGCGGATTTTCTATTCTGCTTGGTGTTATATAATAAGCTACTCGCATGTTTAGATGTTAATTATCAAAGTTTTGACTTTAAGTTGTATAGAGAAGTAGAATTGACGTAACATTTGGTTCTTGTAAGTGGTGAAGCATCATTTCTCTATGTTTGTTTCTTAACTAAATTCTCTTGAGGACTAAAGGTTTTTAGTGTTATTGCATCTTTATAATGCATTATCCCGGCTTAACCTTTGTTTTCTTGAACTTGTTGTAGGTCGCATTTACTAGAAACTACAATGAATACTTCAAAAATGCAACTTATGTAGATGTTGTTGTCTATCTGATGCTGGTTAATCATATGATTCATGGGCTATATCCTGAGGCTACACCATTGGTGAAGATGTATGTTCTATAACTCCTTCTTGAGTCACATTGAGCATACTTCTATTATAATCGTTTATATGTTCCAGAATTATGATGTCTGCTTTAAGTCCCCTGTCTCTTCTACAGCAATATTTGTTGAACTGGGTTTCAATACTTTTTTATGTGATCCATGAGGATGCTAAATGTAGAAATGGTTTTGAAAAAGTTTGTACACATACTTTTATGTGCGAAGCCTACCAAACATTTGTGTATTGTACATGTTTTTCTAATTCTCTGTTGCTTCATCACTTCTCTTCATACATCAATTGAATCCATATGCCATGAATAAGTAGGTTAACCCTGCTAGTAGTTAAGTGTTTTGATATTGTAGAATGAACTAAAGAATTGTTAAAAATGCTTGTTGTAAATTGAACTAATTTTTATTGTAGACCAAGAGTTATGGAAACATAGCAACTAAAGATGCCAACCAAAAACACTTGAAGGGAACAAACAAGCATCTCTAGAAATCTTAAAATATCCTTGCTTTTCACATATTTCATCTTTTGTGCAAATAATTCACCTAAAGAGCTACTAGCACAATAAAAGGTAATTTATGTTTTACCCGTTAGAAATATTAGCATGGTAAGGAACATTTAATTGATAAAATGTTTATATTGAAGTGATTTAGTTGCAGATTTTCATATATTATTTGCAAAAATAACATTCTTTAAGTTTTATTAATATTGAAGAGGAAAAGAAACAATAGTTGAAGGTAGACTTCCACCATCTTAAAATGTCATCTGTCATAATAATCAATTCTCCACTGCTTTTCTTTTTTACTTTGACCCATGTGCTCTAAGAAGTATGCCTTAAGAAACTGTAGTATTTGGAATACCAGCTGTTCACAAGTCAATGCTTATATCTTCTCTAAATGCACATGCTGAAAGAAGTTAAAAGTTATTTAAGTTTGGTTTGTCAAAACACTTAGCTTAATGTTAAATCTGAATGTAAACATGGATCTTTTTATATGTATGTGGGCATGAATATTCTTCTTAATGGACCAAAGATTAGGTGTATAGTCTGATGCAGTTGATATTCTTTAGAACTCCAAATAGAAAAGTTAAGAGATAAACGTTGTCAAAGTTTTATAATTAAGTGCAAAAGCCACCTTGCTTATGTAACAATTAATTGTATCAGCTAATTCATTTATTTAATGCCATGCAGTCTCAAGTATAAAAGGGAAGGTGACTGTGTTCTAAGTGCTTAGAAATCTGTGTTGGTTTACATTGGTAGTGATCTATTGTCTATTTCTATATTTAAATAACATTTAGTGTTTAATTCTACAAATATTAATTGTTTTTTAACATAATGAGTTTGGTGTCTGGGAGATCTTTTGGCCTAATAATGCTGACGGTTCACCACCAATTTCCCATGGTTCTCAAGTGAAAGTAAATTACCTGTAGATGAACATAAGTTTGGCTCTTGAAACTTATTGTGCTTACATTCAAATGCTACTTGTTTATTATTTCCTTTTTCCACTTTTTAAGTCAGGGTAAAAAGAAGCTATAAAACTTGCAACTCTTTCCTTGTAGATCAACAAGGTATTTAGCCTTTTGATCATGATCTGTGGACCATGAAACTTTTAAGTATAAGGGTTTTTTTAACACTAATCCTATTGCATGTGTATATGGTTTGACTAAATCATTGGTTGTACTACAACCTTCAAAATAATTAATTACTAGAATTCATGACATAAAGGCATTGAAGTATTTAGTGGGGTGGTCTCCAAGTCAAGCAAAATTATTCAGGTAGCTAAGTTCAAATCCAACTAACTCCCGTCCTAAAAGGAAGGGAGAAGGAAAGAAAAGATGAAGATGAAAAGAAAAAACCATTTTTCTGGTGGATTGTTATGATCATGTCAATTATCATTTATCCAAACCTCTTTTTCCATGTGTACATTTTAAGTTTTTGACCATATAATTGTAGATTCGTATGGAAACTCATTTGGGATTAAGGACTCCATTCCTGCTTGGATCATGTTCTTTGTTCAATCAACAGATGGAATCCCATACAATGGAAGAAACTATGATCCGCCAAAAGAGGTATAGTTGGTGGCTATTTGCTCTTTGGTTTTGTTGAAAAGATTAGATAACTTATTCTTTTCAAAACTATAAGCAGTTGAAATATTTGGAGCTTGGGAAAAATAAAAAATACCAACTAATGTTTATGATAATTTTAAAATCACTGCATGTGTGTGAAGATACATAGACAAAAGCATGCATGCATGCCTACACACAAATATGATTAATTAATTATATAAACAAATAATGAATTTCTTATTCATCTTAGAGTAGGTTGTTTTGATGAATGTCTTCCTTTATAACGTTAATATTAAGATCAATGCCCTTAAAGGTTTTTAAGAAAACAATTTTGATTGGTTCTTTTTCATATGTGAAGTCAGTTTCTAAATTGTGTTCTCGCTTGTTCAAGTTTAATCACTGCGCAGCACAGTCAACTTAGTTTAGTCTGTAATGTGTCTTATCTCAAATTTTTGTACTCTTTAACCTGACTAATGATTTTTATATTGTAATAGGAAAAGTATGTATTCAAACACCGCTAGCTAAAAAGACCAAAATCACTTAAGTCTATGAATCACATGTTGGAATGAGTAGCATGGTATGCATCTTCCTTTCCCTTGCATGTAGCAAATTGTTATTCAACTCTTCTTTCTCTGCACTGAATTGTATTTCCTTGATTTATTTAATCTTAAAAGAGAAAACCTTAAGTTTGATAAAAAGCTTCATTAAATGCTATCATGTGTGGGATCATGTTTTTTATGCTATTTCTTTCAACCCTTCCTATGAAGTGTTCTTGCAAGGTTTTGAGATTGAAAAGTAAAGCAGGAGGTTTTATAAGACAATACATTTTATAGTAAAACTTATCTTAGTATTTGTATTTAAAACTATCAATTTTACCCCCCCACCCCCCCAAAAAAAAGGAAGATAAAGAGATATTTTGACTTTAAGCTAGCAAAAAGCCACGTAGGTGTATATGGCCTACTTTTCGTGTTCTTTGGTTAAAGGAAGTCCTTCCATTGGATTATACTAAATAATGAGTATTACTTTAGTTAATGATAGTGCAAATGCCAAACAGCTAGTGACTTGGATCTCTATAACTGTTTTGTGTATAGAAATATCTTAAATAGCAGTTTCAAATCAATAACATAGAAGTTGGTTTGATTGCATTTTACTATGATTCTTCACCCATTTCTAAAACCCATTAAGAAGCCTAAATTTGCAATTAAACCGAAATTTATCTCTAGTTTTCTTCATATTGTCATTCAAAAGAAAATTTGTCCCACAAACACTTTCAGTCATTATCTTCCATGGTACACATTGGTATGGTTAATCCATTTCCTAGTTTTCTTAATATTATCAACTCTGAGATTCAGGAGCCAAGAATTAAACACATACGCCAAACTTTAGAGATGGATGTGCTTCCCACTCATTAAAAGACTTGGATATAATGCTGTTCCAAATCATGGCTGTTCAAGAGCACTCATATTATGTTAGATTTGGGTATTTATCTCCATCAAAATATCAGCTCATCTTTATTTGTTGCTGTTTATGTTTGTTAACTTGTACTAAAATGTTATGTTTTGGATGTAAACAGAAATATTTCTTCAGAATTTAGTTTTGGTTTAAACAAGTTGCATTTAATTATGTTACAGTATCATGTGACAAACTTCTTTGCACCAAGCAGCCATTTTGGAACCTCTGATGATCTTAAGTCACTGATAGATAGGGCTCATAAAGATGGGTCTACTTGTTCTTATGGATATTGTGCACAGGTAATAATTAGACTTGCAAGAGAATATCATTTCTAGAAACACATCCTTCAGCTTTATTTGTTGTTACAGTTTTTGTGCAAACGGTTTTTCCCCAGCTTTTTCATACCAAAAATGAAAATATAAACTCTTTTTCTTCTTCTTTTCTTGTTTAGACTGTATGGTCATTCTTCCAGTAGATTTGATGCAAATATGGCCATGAGAATTTAGGCTGTTATGGGTCCTTACTCTTAGTATGTTTTTTCTGGTTGCTTTTGGCTTCCTAAAAGGTTTCTAAAGAACAAACCTAAAAAGGAGAAAGCAAAGTCATAGTTGTTTGAAAATATATATGATTAAATGCAATAGAATTTGTACTATAATTATTCTATTAAAAGAGGAATCATAGTATTTTGTTCTACAAGAGATTATATTTTTTATTTTTAATTCTTTTAAAGTGTTATTGTCTTTTCTACCCAAATGTACTTTCTGCTTCTAGAAACAAAAAGCTAGTAGCAAAAACAACTACCAAATGGAATCTTACTGTATTGTTTACAATGAAAGTTTTTATCTTTTGCATGTTGTTAATGTTAAATTCCTTTCTAAGCTATAGCAAATTTTTATTCAAGTATTTGCTTTGTTGCTTTGAGTAAGTAATCTTTTGCTATAAAGTTTCAGTTAATTTTTATTCTTTAGTTAAATTAAGTTATTAATTAATTTTGTCGTCCACCTTTGTATCTGACTGATGTTTGACGAATACAGCCATGCATCTAATAATATGTTAGATGGATTGAACATGTTGATGGAACCGATGCTCATTACTTCCACTCAAGGTCAAAGGGTCACCGCTGGATGTGGGATTCTCGCCTTTTTAATTATGGAAGCTGGGAAGTATGTACTTCTACTGAAACTTATCTTAAACAATAGCTTGTTGAAAGATTTTGGCTTCCATCCTATTGTGTGTAAATATTAATTTTACTTGTTGCTTTTAGGTACACAGGTTTCTTTCTTTCAAATGCAAGATGGTGGCTGGAAGAATACAAGTTTGATAGGTTCAGATTTGATGTTGTGACTTCAATGATGTACACCCATCATGGGTTGCAGGTAATATCTGAGTGAGTTTGCAGATTTTCTATTTTGCTTAGTGTTATATAATAAGTTACTCGCATGTTCAGATGTTAATATCAAAGTTTTGATTTTATTTTATATAGAGAAGTAGAACTGATGTAACATTTGGTTCTTGTAAGTGGTGAAGCATCATTTCTCTATGTTTGTTTTTTAACTAAATTCTCTTGAGGACTTAAAGGTTTTTAGTGTCATTGCATCTTTATAATGTATTATCCCAGCTTAACCTTTGTTTTCTTGAACTTGCTGTGGGTAGCATTTCCCTGGAAACTACAATGAGTACTTCAGATATACAATTGATGTAGATGCTATTGTCTATCTGATGCTGGTTAATCATATGATTCATGGGCTATATCCTAAGATTGTCACCATTGGTGAAGATGCATGTTCTATAACTCTTCAGTGAGTCACATTGAGCATCCTTTGACTTATAATCATTATCTGTTCCAGAATTAAGATGTCCGCTTTAAGTCCCCTATCTCTTCTATAGCAACATTTGTTTGCACTGGGTTGCATAAATGGATTGGGGTTTTAAATACTTTTTTACGTGATCCATGAGGATGCTAAGTGTAGAAATGGTTTTGAAAAAGTATGCACACATGTACTTGTGTGTGCGTAAGCGTACTAAACATTTGTGTATTGTACATGTTTTTCTAACTCTCTACTGCTTCATCACTTCTCTTCATGCATCAATTGAATCAATATGCCATGAATAAGTAGATTACCCTGCTAGTAGTTAAGTGTTTTGATATTGTAGAATGAACTAAAGAATTGTTAAAAATGCTTGTTGTAAATTGAACTAATTTTTATTGTAGACCAAGAGTTATGGAAACATAGCAACTAAAGATGCCAACCAAAAACACTTGAAGGGAACAAACAAGAATATCTAGAAATCTTAAAATATCCTTGCTTTTCACATATTTCATCTTTTGTGCAAATAATTCACCTAAAGAGCTACTAGCACAATAAAAGGTAATTTATGTTTTACCCTTTAGAAATATTTGCATGGTAAGGAACATTTCATTGATAAAATGTTTATATTGGAGTGATTTAGTTGCAGATTTTCATATATTATTTGCAAAAATAACATTCTTTAAGTTTTATTAATATTGAAGAGGAAAAGAAACAATAGTTGAAGGTATACTTCCACCATCTTAAATTGTCATCTGTCATAATAATCAATTCTTCCCTGTTTTTCTCTTTGACTGTGTTCTAAGATATATGCAGTAAGAAACTGTAGTATTTGCAATACTAGCTGTTCATAAGTCAATGCTTATATCTTCTCTAAATGCAC